GTAAAAAATTAGCGTATATTTAATAAACTGGACTCTTGTCACTTCTTCTTTAAAAAAAGTGCTACCTAAAATCCATATTGGTAACTTATTACTGACTTATGGTATTCGAATTCGTTGTTTTGTAACAAATAAAAAAGTTCCATATGAATTGTTTCTGGTTGTCTTTCACTTTAAAAAACGGTATTTCACATCGTTATCGTATAATATCCTTATGTCATGTAAAGTCTCTAAGTCCAATCGGATCATCCATCCATCTGGAAGACATTTGATATTGGTGAAACAAAAACTTCATATTGTGTTATGAAAGTTCAAGTAAGTCCTTGTAACTTTTGGTACTGATAACTTTTGGTAGAGAGACAACGAAGTCTCCGGTATTGTCTGAAACAACTAAATGGTTGTCAACTAAATTTTTAGATTAGTTAAAGTCAGGTTGAGAGAGGTTTATTGGACCGGTTTTGTTATTTGTCAAGTTGTATTTCACGGTCAACGTGGTTTGGTTGCATTATTTATCAAGTTTATTTCACATGGTAATTTTATTTATTATAAGAAAAGTTATATAGGAATACTTTTTAATTTTTTAGAGAGACAACGTCATCCGGTGACAAACTAGTTGCGCTTAACCCACACCAGGACCAATAAGGGCTTCAGCCCGATTGCAGGTGCGACGAAGATGCGATCTGACGATATACAAAACCGTAAACTTCCACTAATGAACTCCGAACTACACGACCACTATACGCCTTAAAGGAAAAACGTATTAAACGTTTTGACACGAGAATAGCTGAGAAGCGATTAATTAATTACAAAGCCTGTAATTAATTAGATTAATTTTTTTAATCGAGTCCCGGCCCTAATTTATATATTTATTAATTAATGACTGCATTTGCTGGACAGTATTTTACCTCAAAAGTATTACAAAATAAAGGTAACAGAATATGTGTCTAGACATGGCATTTAACCCTCAGGACAATAATAAAAAAGAAATAAGCAATTGACCTGTTCATAAAGGTACACGGGCGCCTTTGAGTAGTGGCGCAGCAGGTAGTCGAAAACCAGACACAGCCGGGCCAGGTTGAGGGGCACCGCCTTCAGCTGGGAGTCTTTGCTCTGGGCCACCTCAGTGATGGCCTGGGTGACGAGTGTCAGGACGGACCGCCGGCCGCGCTCCGACAGATTGTGGAAAAGGAGCAGCAGGAGCTGGAGGTGCTCCACGTTCAGGTCGTCTTCTACTTGCACAGAGCTCTGGATAGTATGCTGCTTCAAAGTTCCCAAAAATCTATAAGAAAAGGAAAGAACGGTAGAAATGGGTAATACATTTAATTAAATATTTGAATATATGACCTAGTATGCATTTCAACAATGACATTTTCTAGAGTTTATTCATAGTTTTGAAAAACACAGCACTTCATAAAGGGGTGTCAACTCTGTTCTCGAATATTGATGAATTATAAAATGGCTGTTACTTGGTAACGTAACAAGCATTGCCAAAGTAAAGCGATGCATTGTCTGTGAGCCCTCCACATATTAAAGTGATAGCACCTAGGGAACATCTTAAACAGTCCTTTAACATACGAGCCGGATGAGAATTGAAATGGTTGTCATACCTTTCCCAGACTTTCATGCACTCCGGAACATCTGGCTCTCCTTGCACACTTGCTTTGTGCTGCCATATGAGGAGAAGTCTAGAGAGCACCGATAGGGATTGAGGGTGAATGTAGAGCGGCCAGGGACCTTCTGAAAAGGGTGCAACACCTAACTGCTGAAGAAGGGTGCTCTGTGAATTACAAGACAAACAACAATCAGTTTGTTACAAGGAACACATCATTCGTGTAACTTACTCCCAGAGAGTTTAAATGCTGGTGGAGAGACACTGGAATAACAAAGAACTTACCTGCAGCGCCGGGGATGGAAGATCGGATGTTACCAGGGTGTGGTTGAAGTGATACAGCGCTAAAGAAAACGCTTCATCTGAAGAGCCTGAGGGGAACAAAATGCATCGTTGCCATCTATCTATTGTGGGCTAAATCCTTCATTAGCTACCAAGCCCACATTCATGATAAGCAGTCATTTTCCCACTGTACCTTTGACATCTTTGTCCACGTCCTTGATGATGCTGGCAAGTGTAGCCATGTGCTGCTCTGTAAGAGACACGCTCAGGTAGTTGCGGATAAAGTTGTTTCTGGACTTGAGCATTGAGGTGGTGATGAAGTTCAGAATGCTGGAAGCTAAACTGAGGAACTATAGGAAGAAGAAGTAGGAAGTTGTCGAGTTAAAAACGTCCATAAGCTGTTTGTTAGTAGAGATAAATCAACAGGTACACAGAATTCACTCCTCACCAGTTCTGGGTCTTTCCGGCCAGCTAAAATGTTGCCATTCTCGCTTGGATTCTGCTTACTGGGGCTCTTCAGTCTGGGAGAGGTCTCCAGAGGTGGGGGTGGTGGAGGGGGAGGGGGAGCAACTTTGTCTTTAGTTGGGGAAATTGTCTCTTCAAACCAAAGCCCCAAAATCGGTTCACTGTCATCATCTGCAGAGAAAGACAACCATTTACTTACATTTCTAAGAGTGGAGAAGAGAACAGCCCCATGACTTTCAAGATATGTGTGGAGTGGTAGTGGTGTGAGCATAAGACAAATGTAAAAAAGGGTGAAACTTGTGACACCTACAACACTGTGCAGGAGATGGACTGCAATAAATAGTGAACATTTAGTGACAACATGTTGGTGATTATCCACATAAGGAAGAAACCTACATAATATTTATTCGGAGATGTTTTAAATAATGTTCCATGCGGTCAGTGCTCCTATCCTTCCTAGATTAACCTGGAATTTAAACTAAATGCTTTTTATACGTGTGTAGTGCCAACATAATTTTATAATTTTGAACAATGGACATACAAGTGAATTAAAGTTGGGTTCTTTTCATGAATTACATATATAAGCATTAAAATAGCATGCAATGATCACAGCTATCTTTGTGTGTTAATATTAATACATGCTACTTGCAGCAGTGACAGACAGGCAATGCTAGTCAGGCTGACACTTGAAGCAAAGCACGTTTCAGAACCCTGCTGCATTATTCCATAGTAGAAATAATTTACAATGTTACAATCAACAGGAATTAAGAATTAAGTTTAAAGCACTAGCAACATGCATTAGCCACAAATAAGTATGTATTTAATATCAAATTAAAATATGATCCTTCAAACTGCCAGTCCCTCGATGTAACCTCCTTAAGGCTTATTTGACGTTTCCCACAAGTGCATTCAAGTGGCCCTCCTATAAATCATACGATTAACTATAAATCACCAGTGCTCTGTCCAGTACCCTACCCAGGAAATCCTAGACCGGCCAAATACAAGACGCTTCTTGTGGCCTGGGCTCAGAAGCGATGAGCCTTCCTCCACAGGCAGCTGCATAGAACTGACCCATTCAAAAACCAGCACTCAGCTGCTTGGCTTTGAGTCGTCCCTGACCCACTCAACACCTCTCATCCTACATAACTCAAGGACAGGAACAATTATCTCCCTTTATGTTTCCAGTGCAGGTTCTGTGTGTAATAGTGGAACCCATTCAATCTATTTTTTCACTGGATTTAAAATATATTGTAGATCTTAACTCCAGGGGTTGGTCCACTAAAGTCTCTGCTTTAACTTGTCAACCGACTGGCAACACATTGCACTCGCACACCTATCCTTACGAGTCATGGCCCCACAAGGACTTGTTTCTGGTAGCTACTAATCAATCAAATATATTTAAGCTACATTAGACATGAAAACCACCTCACGGCAACAAGAGTATTTCAAGATTATTTTCAATAAAAATGTATAAAAGTGTTTCACTTTAAATTGATATTCAAATCTGCATGCAACATAGAAAGATCATAATGTTAATGTTTCAGGTGACAGCAAGTGGTGGCAAAATGTGTTTGAGTCAAACATTTACAAGCACAACTTGAATTTATCGTGTTTGGGAATAATACCACTGTTTTGACATGGGATGTACGATATTATTGGATTCAAAAACGTGTGACTGACGAGAAATGCAATGACAAGCAAGGTGACTATGATGATCAAAGAAAAAAATTAAGATTGGATGTCATTTTTAAAACAACATTTAAATAATTTCAATTATTTACCTCAGTGATGATACATCACAATATATAGCTATCACAAACATCTGATCTGTCTGACAACTACAAGTGTGCATCGAACTTTGGCCGGATAACGCAGGGCACAGACTGGGTGACAGACAAACACATCTATCAATCATCCAATGGACCATGACTCTTTATGTGACTTGGGAGCACATCGCTTCTTTGCTCAGTGTTTGTCGTTTGTGTAAACGGATAAAGTAAGCTCTATTTTTTAATTTTCTCTGTCAAATAAAACCATTGTACAAGTTGTATTTCTAGGACACAGCTCTTGAAAGCACCTGGGAAAAGGTTGACTCAACAGAATTGCAAAACGTAGTTAGTTACTGTACATGTTCCACTTTGCCAGACAAGGTTGTGATGGGTGTGAAAACAATCATTTGCAGCCACATGTCAACACTGCTGGCATTATCCTTCAAACCACACTGAGCCACAGATGAATCTCTTTGAAAAAACATCAATTTATACTTTTCATTCCATAGAAGGGCACATTTCAAATTGAGAGCTGTTTTGCCAAAGGCTCTTCATCTGTGGCTCTGAAATTGTCTAAGCTAGTAGGGCCACAGCTCAGAGCCTACAATTGTGAGACACACAAAAACACAATGAATCTAGGACAGTGAAGTGGACACCAAGTCTTGGACCTGAGGACAGAAAACTGCTGACCTGAGACACAAGCTGCACTTGTCTTCTCCTGTCTTCTCTCTGCTGAAATAGTAGAAACTGTCAACTACACTGTTCACATTGTGTGATGAAGGGACAAAAAAAGTAATGACATTACTGTGTGTGTGAATGCATTTCCCCTCACTGCTGCCATAACCTGACTGATCCACTGGCAGCACGCCTGTTTCACTGCCTTACTGATACAGCTCAGCACTGACACTAGCTCCGAGATCAGAACACAAACATGACTCGGCTAACGGCACCTGCTTCCTGACTGACATGGAGAGAAATCTGAAGCATACCTTGAAAGCAAAACTTAAAGCTTCTAGGATATTAGCTTGTTTGTTTACTCATTTAGTGATGAGAGCATAAGTGTGCCTCCATCACACCTACAGCTACATGATGCCCTGATCATACCTTCGTTTAAAAACATTAAAATAAAAAAAGGTACGAATGTATTATATCTCTTTACAGTTAATTTTAATTCAAAAGTATTAGAGATGATTCAATAAGGAATTTTTTGCAGAGAGGATAAAGTCCCCATTCAGCAGGGACCTTTTGAGGCTGTTCCTACTGCGCAGCCATGCTTCACATCATTGGCTGTTATTATCAGGAGAAATTACATCCAAACATAACAACTGAATTTTCTCACTCCATTATGTGGCGCATCCTTTAAATGTTGATTATTAGAACATATTTGAATCAATACAGTTTGTAATCCTTGCATTATCAAATACTTCTAAATTTCAAATGTATAATGAAGTGCAGAACAATATGTGCATTGCATTGTGTCATCTGTGCCAGGATAGAAGCAACAAAGAAGTCCTGACAATAGGTATTATATGGGGAGAATGTTCAGTTTTAAGAAAGTGAAGATGCAATACTTAAATCCAAAATGAAGTACCTTGACTGCTATCTTCCTCTGTACTGCTGAAATCATCCTCGTAGTAGGTGTTTGAATCTGTAGAAGCGCTGGCATCGCTGCTGACTGAGCCTTTCCTCTGACGTTGGAGAACACAAGCCTGATGGATCCAAAACAAGAAACACTCTTAATAATGACAACCGTTTCTGATCCTTCAATTAAAGGTTTCAAATCAGATTGTATTCACACAACTGCAAGACGAGGACAGAAACAGCTGGCAAACATATATCATGTGATGGTTCTATTCCCAATATTTTGCATAACGATATCTGTTTTGTGTCTGTGTATTTTCTGTTGCACACGTCTGTCTAAATTACAGAATGTTCCAAAGGGTTTATCCTGTATTACATTGCACTGAAAGATGAAGTAAACAAACACTTGTGCAAATTACAAGTACGTAAATACCTTTTTGTAGGAAGTTGAGAGAAGTGTGAAGAGTAGATTGGTGAGGGGCACAGAGTCGATGAGCCTCTGGACCCTCTGGATGGAAGTGCTCTGTGCCATGATGTTGAGTTCGGCGGGGGGTCCGTCACTCGCCCAGCCCTGCTGCAAACACAGGTTTCAAGACATAGGACGTTACTTTTGTATCCTGTTTTTTATATTGTTTATTTCATGCTTAGATCCTTCTTTTTAATTATTATTTTAAACATAAGTTTTTAAAAATCTAACTAGACAACCGTACTAACTTATTTTTAGCATAATAATATTTGTTCTTGCCTTTCTTTTGAAGAGTTCCTTTTTAATACATTTAAGGAGTAATAAATAATGAAGTTTGACAGAATTGCAAACCTGTTTTATTTTTACTTTTGTTAACATCAAAACATGGGGCATTATGTGGCTCAAAAAACTCATAAATCATAACAGACAAACATTTTTATTTTGTTTATCCAACTTACCCGGTGCAGAGCCTCAACTTGGAGATCCTGGAAAAGTGAAGTAATGTGAAACAGCAAGAAGGAGAAATGGAAGGTGAGACCAGAGACCTAACACTCGCACCTCACACACGAAGCACCCACACACCACTCCGGGGCGGGAAGTCTTTTGTCCTTCGCCCCTCCTCCTTACACTTATGGCGTTTCGCCACCTTTGACTTGTACTTGTGGTAACCTATTTTATTGGGTACCCGCAATCAAAAAACAAATAAATTATTTTCCTCGGTGTTACAAAGTTTCACTTTACTGAACAATCTATCTAAATGAAGTCCAACTTTAAACCACGATATAAATAAATATAATAAAAAGAAATTTATTTTGGGTTTTATTTGTTGGCAAACTAAAGTCCGGGTTCCCGCGCCCCCAGCAAACCCGTCCGCGTCGGCGGCGGCGGCTGGACAATCCCCTGGACATAATACCGAAGGACCCACGATCCCGTAGGACCTAAGTTTCACATAGAGCCCGGCTCAAAGAGTTGAAAGGAAGGGGGGGGGGTGGAAATCAAAACAAATAAATCATCTTAGAACCCCGTAAAAGGGGAGTTGGAAAAGTGTACGTTTTACTGACAGGGTGGGGAAAAAAGAATGGTCTCAATTGGTCACAAACAAAAATTGATATAATGGTCCACCAGACTCTTCAACGATGCACACAACACGGAGTTGGACGGGATGAAAGACGCGATGTAGTTGGCAAAGGTCCTACGACATAGTCGGTTGAGAAAGAAATGAGTACGGCGGTGGTCACCCCGGCTACGGTGACGACAGGCGTTACCCATTAACTAAAGTAATATATGTTAAAGTAAGAATATATATACTAAACAAATATTCCCAGTTATAGTCGACCACATGCCAAGACGGTACCCATAAACCATTGATTACAAGAGATGACAGAGTTATTTGGAAAATTACGAATTTGGGGTTTGGGGTCAAAGGTAAGGTGACCACTATCTGCATTGGTACCGGAAAACCCTGTGTGACAGGGACGGACATGACCTCGGGAACTGTGGCTCCCTTCTAATGACCTATACTGGCCCGCCGAAACTCGACAGAGATACCGACCATCCACTTTTTGAGACAATCCTGTTTTACTTCAGTATGACAACACAGTCATTACTTTTTCAAAATTTAAGTCCCGTTTTTACCTTCTTATATCTACCCCCTTGTCTTTAATCGGCGAAGGAAATGTTTTTTACTTTGGTATGTCGTCACATCATGATACGACCCAACGAATTACATGGGGGACATAAATGATGTAAAACAATTTTAATAACTAATTTAAACATGTTTCAGTTTTATTTACAAATAAAAAATTGGGAAAATCATGCTCACAACGGTGGACGTACCGTGGAAAGACGTCCATCCGTCGCCGAACCGTCGACCGAGTCGGAGGTGACCCTGATTTCTCTCTTCGACTACTTTTACTGCGTCGGTGTAGAACAGGTCTTTACACACTCATAATACTTATTTTGTAAGAGGTTTTCATACGAAGTTTAGTCCTTTATTTAGACCACGAAGCAACTTTTGAAATAAGTCATTGGAAAGACAAAAGGCTGAGCGCTTCTTTGAGTCACTCAATGTCCAATATAAAGTTTGACTACTTGTTTAACAACCCCCGTCCCCTCAACGTAAGACTTACCAAAATACAACTTCAATAACGAGGAGTATATAACGTAATGTAAAAGGAAAAATCATTATACAAATAATAATCACGGAACCGTGGAATTTGTGGTGGCATATTCTTCGTAAAATTTTACGATTGTTCATGTTGTAAACACAACCGTTGTCGACCTCTACGATGCTTTTACGTAACCCTGTCGGTAGTCATCTGAGGGCGTCTCGACTCCTCTCCAACTCACGATCCTGATCTTACTAATCATAGAAGCTTTCTTTTGTGTTCCAAAGTCCAAGGAAAAACTAATTGAAATGACAAACACTTCAATTTTCATACCCGACGAGTTAATTAGCAATAAAATAGCGCTAACACCGAACGTTGCTAAATGCTTTTGTTTACATTAGCCTTTATATTGCTAAGAAAAAAATAATAATTAATAATAAGAAAAAATGAATAAGTCCGAATAATATAAAAAAACAATAACCAAAAAAGGCCAACTCAATATGAATTTCAAAATCCCATTATTTGACAATTGTTTGTATGACAAGTTTAACAAAAATCAGGTTATTTAACTACACAAAGTTGTCATTTACCTATTAGCAAAAATTATTAGCACTATAGTTAATAACTGGTTTATTAGTCTAATACTAAAAACACGGTATTGAGCTCGTCGGAATCAAAAGATTCGTTTTAGAGAAATTCTCTAACTGTACTAGTCGGGATGGTCGTAAACGGTACCACCGTTTTGTAAAAATAAACCAGACATTTAACATCAAGTTGTAAATAAAGGTCAAATGAGACCTGGTAACTGCCACCTGGTCGGAATTACAAATTGACTCACCTTATACAACTTATACAAATGGTTGTTACAACCGATTATTCAGTTGCTCAAAAGTCCAACACTGTCACTGACGTTGTACAAACAACTAGAACAAATAAACATAAATAATAATAAAACTATAATAAATAAATTTTACACCTATACTTACATATTAAATAAAATAAACAATAACCAAAAAGTCAACTAATGGGACTTGCATATTAAGTTATCAATCTTTTCAAGTTTAATAATAAACATACAACAAAATTTCATGTTATTTACCTAACAACAGTTACTTATTAGCGTAAATTATTAGCGTTAAATGGTTAATAACTGGGTTTATTTAGCTCTAATACTAAAAACGGTTATTAGCTCGTCGGGATTTAAATTCACCAGTTTTTTCCTGTAAGTAAACTACCTGGATAAAGGAATGACGTCCCGTAATAGTCTTGAAAGTCGACGAACCTCGGACCACGGAAGATTTGTCGGAGATGGACTAAGAATTGGACTCGGGGTGCCGGACCGTTCTAAATTTCGCCTTTCTCTTCCCTGGGGGACCGGCGGGACGCGCAGGACAAACTATAACCGGCGAGCGTGGGTTCCTCCCGCGCCCTAGCCGGATTGAACCCGGACCGTTTCCCATTAAATGTTTCTTTTAATTTATTCATTTTTTTAAATAATATTACAAACACCGACAGCGCCACCGAAGTAGAAAACTAGCAGTAGTCAATTCGTAGTGTAGAAAAATTTATTGACTTCCACATCACCAAGACCGTCTGTAAAGACCTTTTACATAAAAACCAAATTAATGATATAGTTATTTTTATTTATTTACGACGAAATTTCACTCTACACACCTAAGTTACTAAACAAGGAAAAAGAAAAACTAATAAAAAAAAAAAGAAGAAAGTTATCTGTGGTTCCGAAACCACACAACCAGACAACAGGACCGTTTTGGTAACGGTANTTATTGCCCCGAGCTCTGCTGTCTGCCCGTTTGTGTCCCCCCCAAGTTTCAAATTTGTTTATTATTTTTTTTTAACCGCAAGCCGTTACCGTCACGGGAGAAGGACACACACAGCCTGCCCAGGTGGACGCGCAAGAACGCGACAACGAACATAGCGTGCGCATTCTAAAAATAGCTCACAGATGGAGCAGGTACCGCGGTTTTGAACTACAGTATTGAGATGTGAGTTGGTTTATTCAGTAAATTAGCTCAGGATAATTGGATGTTCTGTCTACACCTGTTGATGTGAGGCTAATGCAGGACTTGCTAGCTTGATGCTACTGGCATTTAGCGGCAGTGACTCAACAAATTGCCTCTAAAAATGTATCGTCAGCAATGTATGACAAGCAGACTGCTTGTTTAATGTTAGACTCACACCAATAGCTCAATATGATCATAACACGATTGCTTTCATATCAGAGATCAGATGAGGTGGAGCTGCCTCCAGCAATAGAGGATGAGGCAGAGAGAAGCAGCAGCAGCAGCAGCACAGGGTTGCAGCAGGTATGTTATATTCTCTAGTCAGGTGATTTAAATGTATCAATGAAAGGAAGAAGTGTAGGCTACATGATAAGAAGGGAATACAGTTTGAATAAAATTAATACAGCCAGTGTAACACTACTGTATTACTTTTTAATGTACAAATACTTTGTTACTGCACAATATCAATAACAATAATCCACAGCTCCTCTCTGCTCCAGAGGATACACAAGAAATTTGGGCGCCGCAGCCATTTTTTTTTCATAGCAACACCCTGCCAGGGGCAGTAAACCTAGGGGAAACACTGAATATCTTAAGTGCTTTGACAAAAAATCCATTAAAAATGTCATCTGTGGAAGCCGTAGTACTGTAAAAAGCATGACCAATCATTTTAGCCGGCCCGGCTAAAATAACTGGATGGCCTACCTGCCTGTCAGCCTTCCATCTGTGCACAAACTTATCTCGTGCCCTCATTGGTCATGTGCGCGTTCGTATGTGTTGGAGGAGGGGCTCTGTAAGGAAGTGGCAGATTTTTTCCGGCTGTGTATTTTCAAATTCTAGCGCACTCGAGCTGGTTTCTCCGAAATTACTTACCCCACCTTTAAGGATATCAAATGTGCTTCAGCACTTAAAGACTAGATTCAAAGAAAAAAATACTTACCGAGTTCCTGTAAGCTAGACACATTCTGAGAGACAAAGGCATTTTTCATTTTGGCCTGAATAGCTTGTTCTGTGGTTTGGTCATCGCAATCACTCTCAGCCTATAATTAGAGAGAGAGGAAAACAAAACACTGATGATTAATCAGGAGGCAAATTATATTACATACATACAACATATATCGTAAAAAAAAACAGTTTATTTTCAGTAAGAAGGTTGGTTAACTCAATCAAGTTGTCATTAGTAGCTGAGAGTGGAGCAGGCGATAGGACGGCTGCTCTGCAACACTTGCCTGCATGTGTGATGCTGAAGGGGAGGCCAAGATGGTGGTAAGGTCCGGGTTAAAAACTGAAGTCAGTTGATTAAAGAAGTTCATTTGCACTTCTTTTTGACGAAGCTCTGGGTTCACAGCACTGGGCAACTCCTTCTGATCTTCCACTATTAAATGAACAAAAAGGACAGTTCTTGTCAATCAAAAGCATGAATAAATCATTTTACTAACAGTAGTAATGTATCATTATTAGCTTAGTATTGCTTCATTTTGATCCTTCCCTAAAAAGGGACACTTACCATCTGAAAGGGTCTTTACGGTTTGAGGCAACTTGGCAGATTTCATCATAGCAGTAAAAGTAATGATTTCTGTGCGATCCAGTCTGCTGCAGCCAGTGCAAAGTCCTTTTATCAGAAGAATCAGGTGTTTCTGAAGAACAAAAAGCAACGTATTTTTAAATTTAACATGTGGGTTTATATAGTTAATAAAAGTGAAAACTGACACACATCGACCATAAGTAGAATGCAGTTTTTTCCCTTACCTGTGATACCGCACATGCCTCATCTGGGTTCTCCAAGCGCAGCAAAGAGAATTCAATCAATACTTTGCATGCTGCAGCAACCGACAGCAGCTGATTTCTCGGTACTAGGGAGATAGAAAATAAATGATTTGCTGGTTGTACAAAATACAACTGGTAGCATTTGAATATAGTGCCTGACATAAGTAGCAATATCTATCACAATAGAGAAATAAAATATACTTACTTTGACCACATACTGTGGTGATATAGTGTGCAGAGAGTGCCACGAATGATGAGTAGAACGGCTCATACTGTTTGTCGTGGTGAAGGATGTCTGATTCACTGCAAATGACAAGTGAAATATCTCATTAAACTCTCATATTTTGTTTCTGCATTCTAAATCACATATTTCCAGAAAAATGGGGAGCAGTCTTTGTTGGTGGACCTGGACAGCTAGGGACCCACCTGTGTTAGCATCAATCGTTCACAGGGACATGTTCTTTCCTTATCTATATATTAATCTTTTTCAAACAGCCTTCTACAGCGTCCAGAACATCAAAGTATTCAAGTGACAGCACAAATGTTCCATTAAATGCATGTTCTTAGTATCCACAATCACATATACAGACATCGATCTACATGCTAACATCTAGTTAGTAAAACCCTCATAGAACTAAATCTAAAACACATTTCTTAAAAACTCTCAGAAAGTGGAATAACATGGAGGGTGTGCTGGAGATGCCACACCACTGATGCTGACAACTAAACTTCCAGTTTAAAACACCAACAATTATGTTACACATTTTAAAAACAACTATTAGGCATAATCTGAATTCCATGCTCACAATGTAGAAAATACTTGCAATGGTGACACATAGCTGTAATTGTGTTTTAAACGTTATATACTATAGTGTACTGTAAGCATTTCAATAGATAATTTACCGTTTTTCAAACCCAAACCAGAGTTTCATTCGAAAACGAAACTTAAATCCTTGTTAGCAGTATTTGCAGGGTTGTTGTTGCTTTGGAAAATGAAACCAATAAAAATACCAGGAAGCTCTTAATTTGAATGCAGTGTCATCAGCTGATGGCACCACTAAAAAAGCCATACTATTCACTGTGTTGGTACTACTGATATGTTATTCACTCCATGGTGACGAAGAAAGTGGGGTAGTTTGCCAGACGAAATGTGCACATACAAGAGCGTACGTCTAGTTTTACTTCAAATATACGTTCCCCTGCTTGACAGACCCTGCACCAGCTTCATTGTAGTTTCAGCTACACGGTTTATTACCAAGCAGCAATGTCGCCAAGTTATAGTTTTATTGAAAAATACATTAACGGCGACCCATCACCACCTTATCAAACATAAGTGGAGTACATGGTCCACGCCTACTTCCAGCCCAGCCACACAGCAGATAGCGTTTAACACTGGCAACCTTTATTAGTTAATGTATAAATTGCATGTTGACATGCACAAAGCATACTTGGTATTGCAAGCTGAGCATACAACACAAACCAAATAAAGCCAACGTAACTTAGCTGACGCAGTAAAATATTACTGTGGCTATTTCAACGTTCGTTTGGAAGGCCCCTTAGGTAGCTTGCTGGCTAATGTTTGTGTTAGCTAGCTAATGATGAAGCAGATTTTCAAAACCTTACACTGCGAAGCCAAATGACGACTGCGCTTCTTTAATGTCCCATTAAAGACTGAGATACACCAGCCATTGGCCCAGCTTTGTTTCAAACTGTTTATGCATTACCAGCCAGTAGGAGCTTAATAGCAATTTGAGTACGTGAGCTAACGTTAGCATATTCGATGCCAGTACAAGTTAAGCTCAAGTAGCGTGTTAGCTGCTAAAGCTAGCTAAACTGGTAACGTTTCCCATCGAACTGTACCAAACAAGCTAAGTTAGCATGTTAGCCAGCCAGATCTCTCATGGGTGGACATGGGTAGAATTTGAACAAATAGAGACCCGCAGCTAATTGACATGTAACCAGTTACCTGTTGATGATAGACCCGATAAGCTGAGGTAGCTCCTTCGTTTCAAAAGCGGTGTACGAGGCTGATAAAAGCGGCCGTACTGCCGCTGTCCATTCGTGTTCCCCTTCTCCTCCGCTCGACGCCATCTTGAAATCCCATGTAAAAACTAGATGCTGGTAGAAGACACCGTGAAAGTAAATCAGAGGGGGCGCTGTCAACTGTCAGCCCAACATCCCATCCAAACATTTACACAGAGTGTATACGAAACAGTTTTTAATCCCACTATTAATAAAGGTGTATAATACTATTAATAGAAGCTTCCAAATATACACAGTATAATTAAATATTGCCTTTATCCATATACAAATCACGCACATGTAATTCATTTGTTCCCATTGAACTACTCTACAGTGTTCTTTTTATTATTTTATTGTTTGATTTAAGTAATGGATATTTGAGCATCATTACACATGTCTATTAAATGTGTTTTTTTTATCATATGCAATAATCAATTTGAAGACAGCACCTTTTTAAAAAAATTGCACATTTGTTTCTGCAATTTATTCTGTTATATATAAGTTGCATTGATCACAGAAGTAAAAATCAATGCCAGTTTGTGTCTGCAAACTACCTTTTATTTTGAACCATAAGGGAGTTAAGTGTTAACAGATTAATACATTGAACTATGCAATTCAACTATATGCTCCACTTCCATGTATGATCAAAGTGACAAGGCAGTTCCTTGAACTTGGCATTTTAAATAAATTGCAATTAATTAATAAAACAATTTTTTAAACGTATTTATTTAGTACCATTGCAAAGACAATCTCTATTTATTCAACATATATAATGAATGTGAGTATTAGGTCAACTTAATGTATTTTGGTGTCTGCAAAAGTAAGTGACAGTACTTCCACCATTTTTGTAGAATGAGAATATCAGATGAAATGTAAACATGTTCATTGGGTTCATGGTCACTGGCTGCCATGGATATATAATATGAGGTCACTGCATTACATGTATTGAAGCGAAGCTGTGTACCATCCGCCCTGCAGGGGGCAGCACGTCTCAGGCACCAGACTTGAAGGAAGCCAGTCCACTTCCGATTTCCTCGTTTTGCTCCCCCTCTTGAAGAGCAAGCTAATGCTATTGCTGCAATGGCAAAGCTAATTTGGTTGTGCCTGAATTTTGTCATATTATGCAGCACTGTCGGGGCTGTGTTTGAGGATCAAGTAGGGAAATTTGACTGGTAAGAGGAGTCTACAAAATAATCAAATATGTGTGCTATTTTGAGCCATGTTTTAATGAAAAAATGCTAATGCTATCACCTGTCACAGCCACAAGCTGCGACCCGGCTTGTTTAGGGTGGACTTTGTGTGAGAGAAAGGCCCTTTTAAAAAAAATCATACGATACATGTTATTTACCAGCTGCAGATGCTGTGGGCTCTTTCACAATTTGTGACTAGTAATTCTGAGCTCCAGTAAGCTAAATTACTTATAGTGAATGTGTTAGATATTGATCTCTATGCATTTGAAAAGCTTTGAATCAATCTGATAATAACCATTATAAAGTCCAACAAAAAGTCCTTTCTTCTTTTCTTTCCTTTCCTTCGTAAATCCAATGGGATTTGATCAATTTTGGGACTCAACCTTTGCTTTTACATATTATTTGTATCTATAGTGTTGACCTTCTGACTGGTTGTTTTCTGTCTTTTGATTTCCAGGAGGCAGCAGTATGTCGGCAAGGTTCTTTTTTCTAATTTTGACGCACAGTCGCAGTCATCCAAAAAGGTTATCGTGGCAACAGAGAACAATGTTTTTGCTTCCCTTAACATCAGGACTGGAGAACTCTGTGAGTATTTTGTATTTGCAACTGAAAAGTGCATAAAGACCACCCGCCTCTCAGTTGAAATGCCTTGTGTTCTTATATTAATACCAGTTAATTGTCTGTTACAGTCTGGCGACATGTAGATGCGATTGGGCCGGAGGGAAAAATCGACGCTCTTCTGCACCATGGACAAGGTGATTTTGTCTTAGCGCTTAAGCCTACAGAGCATTTTGTTCTGCAATTGAAAGCAAATAACAAATGTAACTGTTTCCTGTCTCCTAGATGCGTTGCTGGTTGTTGGTGATGGCCGTCTGCTGCGCTCCTGGGAGATAAATATTGGTGGTTTGAACTGGGAGATTGTGCTGGATTCTGGCAGGTGATTACCTCCTTGATTTTCACTTGTTAGGTCTACAAATGGTCTTTGATCGATCAGATGATAACTGCTTTTGTTCTGCATTTTAGTTTCCAGTCGGCTTGTTTAATTGGACAGCAAGACATCGTGAAGCACGTGGCTGTTTTAAAGAAAACTGCCATCTCTCTCCATTACCTCTCTAATGGTCATCAAAAATGGATAGAAAATCTACCAGAAAGGCAAGTGGACCTGTTTCTTTCTAATGTGGTTGGTTCAAGCATATGAATACAAGCATTAACAATAACATGATGCAGAACATCAAAAATTGTAGTATTTCAGCAGTAGAAGTATCTTGTATAAACAAGCAAAATATATTTGCATTATAAAAATGTTTAAACTGACGGTCTTTCTTTCTATCCAAACAGTGAAACCGTGGATTACCAGTCTGTGTATTCTGGTGGAAATGGTGAGGTGTATGTCCTGGGAATCGTTCCCCATTCCCACATTGCAATTGTTGTTTACAGTTTGGATGACGGAGAGATAATCAGACAGGTAATCTTGATTTATACAGTAGTTACAGTATATAAATGTTTCGTAGAAATGATAGAATTATTTTTATAATACTTAGAGGAAATAAATAAAACACACTTTTTTGGAATGCTACAAGGGAAGCTGTACTGTTGCAAAATGCTTAATAAAGTCCCCTTTTCTGACATCTTTGCTTGTGTTGTCTCCAGTTCTCAGTGGAAGCTCCGTGGCTGTCTAACATACAGGCCAGCTGTGCAGTGATCGGCGAGGGCATGTTGACGTGCGCGGACTCTGCCACTGTATCCCTGTACATGCTGGACTTGGAATCACAGACAGAGATGAGCCAGATCCCCTTGCAGGTAACTACAAGAAAATAAACGTTCTATACTAGAATTACCATGCTTTTCCTTTTCTCTGGTTAGGATAGGACTCCATTCATCTCTAACTTCTCTGTATATCTCCACCGACACAATGGAACCGTCTCTGTTTACATATACTTGTTTTTCTCTTCTTCTAGTCACTGGGACTTGAAGTCACTCCTGGTTTCCAGCCAGTACTGAGGTCCACTCAGCCCAACGCAGCTCGTCCTCCGCTGTCTGAGTTCTTCCTTCAAGTTGGGCCAGAACAACACCTGCTCCTCCAGCTCAACGACGGTCAGATAGTTACTCTGAGGGATTTCAATCCTGTAAGTAACTGTTTCTCTACCTTGCACTTCTCTCGTGCATGATTAGGTTTCTGACAATTATAATCCTGACCACTTAGATATATATTTTATTTTCCAGGGCTGATATTAGTTTTCTATAGCCAGTTAGATGGCAAGAGATAAACGTATGGCAACAAACAGATATACACAGTACACAAAAACTTCATGTATATTTTTTCTTAGTTTTTGACAACATTTGCCAGACGAAATGTTTTTTTCCCATTTTTTTTTGAGACCAAATGTTGTATAATGTTAGAAAACTGCCAGGCTGTCTGTGAAGCCGAAGTCCCAGTTTTGTATGTCTTACTGTCCTTCTTGTTGAGCATTGATGCCATTGTTTTTGGTTTATTATATAAAAAATGGGCAGATCTCAATGGGACTTTCTGATGTAATACAATTTGTTAATCTAAGAAACAGTGGTAAAGTGTTGTTGACTATTTTGTCATGATTCCCAGGCCTTGTTGGTTTCATTTGCCACCACTGGAGAGAAGACTATTGCTGCTGTCATGTCACCCAAGAATACAACTGTGAGTAATTGTGAAATCATACATTCAGACTTCTTAAGCATCGGGTTTACCATCTATCTACTATTGGCAAACTATGGTTTGAATATCAGCGGGTTTACTAAAGTCTTATTTATCTCTTTGTGTGCTTGATGCAAGTGTTATAACTTTCAAATTCAGAATCCCTTTATTCCTCCCACAGCAGGGAAATAAAATGTTCTGTTAATTTTGACAAACCAATGTGTGTTGGCCTAAAACTAAGAAGTATTTTATTATTCATGCGAGTATCTTCTTTCTTCCACACAGGCTTGCAGTGTTAACCTGTTCAGTGCAGAAACAGGGCGCAGACTTCTGGACACAACACTGATTTTTCCTTTGGATCCCAATGGTGGCAAACCTGAGGAGGTGAGTCAGCAATTGAATCTTGGTGAATCTCCAGTGTCTTTTACATCCGAGTGATCAATTAATTGAAGATCCATGTTTCCTTCACCGGAATTTCAATCTGATTAAACATGAAGTGCTTTTCTTTTTATAATTCAAAACATTTTTGTTCTTTTTGTTTCAGCTGTATGTACAAGCATTCCTTAAGAAAGACGACTCTGTTGGCTACAGGGTCATGGTGCAGACAGAAGACCACACACTCACTTTCATTCAGCAGCCAGGTATGGATATTAAAACCATGAAGCTTTGTTAGTGTTAATACAAAAACTGCCAACAAATGTTACCTGAGGTGTTTACATGCACAGGTGTCGGCCAAGGTGTGTTTTTAGATTCTACCACTAAGAGGCACCAAAGTCTGAACAATTTCGAATTCCTGCTCGTAGTTAAAAAATAATCTGACCTTTTTTTCACGTTGTTGTTTGGCCAGACCCCACAAAAACTCATATCTTGACATTTAGCTTTTTAATATGTATAAGAAAGAAGGAATTGCTCTTCGATACAGCTGTTGTCAGGAGCTGGGTTATATAGTTTGTAACGAGTCTGCCCTTCATTGTGTTTACTGTTGAGATCAATTATTTAATTTTTCCAATAATAAAAAGAGACTGGTAAATCCATACTTTAACTCCTGATAGCATGAGGGACAATTATACTTCTTAATCATCATAAATACCGGCAACATCCAGCCGTCAGTCAGTTTTCATAATGTACGCACAAACAGGAGGCGAAAGAAAATGTGTCGTAATTGACGGAAAGCGTCAACGCAAACGGCATACAGCGGCAGGGTGTGTAAAGTAGAATGAATGATTGCAGAACAATAAGGAGTGTTGTTTTCCAGGGCGTGTGATGTGGACCAGAGAGGAGGCCCTGTCAGATGTGGTGACAATGGAAATGGTGGATCTGCCTCTCACTGGAACGCAGGCAGAGCTGGAGGGCGAGTTTGGCAAAAAGGCTGGTAAATGTCAACCCAGAACCCCTTCATATTTACTCCTCCTGATGTACCGCTTTAAGTACTAATCTCTGCCAGTATTTTATTTTTTTAAGTTTTCACTGCAGTAATTCTTCAAATGTTTTCCATGTCCCAGAAGCTTATGGCAGCTTTGCAATTCCTAATCTGAGGGATTTCATGCCTAGTTGGTTTATCATTTTGAGATTTTCCACTCCTTTTAGAACTAAATAATTGAATCCACTGAATTGTTGCTTTTACTTTTTCCTCCCTTCAACTGCTCTGCACCTGCCATTAATAATCCATGTTGTAGTTTTGTCGCTACAGGCTTGCTGGCCTGGTAAACACAGATCTCTCTGGTGTGTTCACTTGGTTGCTATTTGCTTCATTTTCTTTTGTCTTTGTCCTGTTTCTATCGCTTCGCTTGGATTCAGCTATTCAAGGTAACACACCCAACTGCTTTTCTAAAATAAAATGTATTAATGGCTTTTGTTTGACTATTGTTGACTGAAAACACCTCTCCATATCTTCTGAGCATTTATTTTAATCATATACTATTTCTACAAAACCAGATTGTTTTATTAATGATGTGAGAAATAAGCTGCTTAACTTTTATTTTACAGTATTTTAGTGTTATATTGAGCTACAAACTACTGTTATTGTAATGAAATTCACCTGTGCTTTGCTTGCAATAACAATACAACAACAAGTCAAGTTGTAATTTTCCATCCACTGACAGTCATTAATCAGCGTCCTTTCTCTCTCTAATTCGTCTAGACGGCCTGTTTTCCATGGTGCTCAAGCGGCTCTCCTCTCAGCTCATCCTGCTGCAGGCGTGGATCAGCCACCTCTGGAAGCTCTTCTACGATGCGCGCAAGCCTCGCAGTCAAGTCAAAAACGAAGTGACCATTGAGAACCTCTCCAGAGACGAGTTCAACCTGCAGAAGATGATGGTCATGGTTACTGCATCAGGGAAGGTACAGGACTAAAGCTTTGACGCAGTTACTATGATTCAGAAGAGATGAAGTGTGCTGCACATTTGTTGTCAAGCCAAGATTATTGCGTCTATGGTCAGGCATGCCTAAAGTGAAATCAAACAATAATAAAAGGACTCGATCAGGCTTTTCTTAAACACTAATGTTTTCCCTTTTGCTGTTTTCTGTGAAGCTTTTCGGGATTGACAGCAAGACCGGCACTATTGTATGGAGGCACTACTTGGACAACATCCCAGCTAATGCAGCTTTCAAACTGATGGTGCAACGGACCACTGCACACTTCCCTCATCCGCCTCAGTGCACTCTGCTCATCAAAGACAAGGTATCTAATAACAAAAGCTCTGTGGGTAAATCATATTATCTTGTCGGAGAAAAATAAACAAATAAAGCAAATTACCTCACTGTGAAGTTGGCAGATCCTTGCTTACTTTTGTACCTTGGTGAGACGTCAACAGATATCACTTTACATTTCTACTGAGCATGCATTATACCAGGAAAAATCTAAGTGGGTTTTTAGGCAGGCAAAAGCTGAATACTGTTTTGTGTATTTATTTATGGCATTTTCTTCTATTTTCTTCCATCAGGACACAGGCCTGGCCACACTCCATGTATTTAATCCCATCTTTGGGAAGAAGAGTCACGTCACCCCCCCTGCTATGCCTCAGCCGATCCTCCAGTCCCTCATGCTGCCTGTCATGGACCAGGATTACGCTAAGGTCCTGCTCCTCGTTGATGACCAGTACAAGGTGAGTGGCAGACTCTGAACCTCCTTACTCGCCAGATCAACATCAAAGATACAGACATTGTTCAACAAGTGACTTTGTTCATTTCTTCCCCAGGTCTCTGCTTTCCCCTCTACCAAGAACGTCCTGCAGCAGCTCCAGGAGATAGCCTCAACCATTTTCTTTTACCTTGTTGACTCCAGCCAGGGAAGACTTTCTGGCTACAGGCTGCGAACGGCAAGTCAAGCCTTTGTTTTTATTGCTAAATGATTTCATTGTTTTTTCACATGAAGATTCAGGGGTTTTGGACATGTTTTTTAAAAAGCATCCAGCCACCACTAGCCTTCAGCTTTTGGCTTCCATATTTTCATTGGTAATAATTGCATTGATAACTTTACTCTTTATTTTGGTAATGAAACATGTTCAAAACGCTTAATTCATTAATTGTAATAAATCATATATTTAGAGTTTGAAGATATATAGCACTAAAATATATTCTGAATATTTCGAATATGTATGAACCATGAGATTTCTACCTAAATCACAGATGAATGGCAAAAGTAATACATCTTTTGTATTTATGTTTCGCTCTCAGGACTTGTCGACCGAGCTGATCTGGGAGGTGGTGGTCCCAACAGAGGTGCAGAAGATTGTGTCGGTCAAAGGGAAGAGGCCCAACGAGCACGTGCACTCCCAGGGCCGAGTAATGGGAGACCGTAGTGTCCTCTATAAGGTACAATGACTTCCCCTGAAAACTCACTTGTGGTTTGGAAGAAGTGTTGAGAGGGTTTGAAAATGAGTCACTCCTTGTCGTTTGACATAGACTGAAAACTCATCTTTCCTAGAAATACTGCACCTCGTGTCACTTTTTCCCTGGTGAATCATATCCTCTCCCCACCACTGACTGAGTAACAATAACACATCTTGTGTTTTGGTGCTTAACCTCCCTTCTTTAGTTCCTGCCTGATCTATGAAATGAACAATACGAAACTCTAAAGCTCTGTCACAGGTTAATGCAACTGCAAGGTTCATTACAACCCGCAATACTCAACATGTCTGTGACACACATCATTCTCATGTCTTTCCCACTCTTAGAGCTTCATTAGGCGCGTTCACACCAAGTACTTTTCCCACAAAGGTTCCTGAGAACTCTTTAGTTCTCATGAACTAAGTACAGATCGCGTTCACACCGGAAATTAGTTACTGGGGGTGGATTAGGCAAATGAAGTCGCTGATGTCACTTCTTCTTCTGCTTTGGGTTTACTGGCAGGCCGCAAACAACTTCACGGCGTATACTGGCGCCCAAAATCCCCGGCCGGAAGTCCCCGGAGTTAATAAAATGCCGGCTTCGCAAAAGTTTTTGGGAGTTTTACGGGGCGTGGTTTGCATTCCGCCCAGCCAATCAGACACAGGAACCTTTTTCTCCCACGAAAGTCCCTGCTCTCTAGCAGGGACTGAAAAGGGGGTAAAAAAAGGTTCTCTAGAACTAATTTAGTTCCTGGGACTTTTTGGTGTGAACGCAACTAAATCGTAGTTCTCAGGAACCTTTGTGNCAATATATACACCATGATTTAGAACAAATTGTTAGAATGATTTTCTGACCTAAATCAAACATTTTGTAAGTAACCTATAGTTCTCATTCATAACACTCCGTTCGATGTCTCACTATGGGATATTGTAGCTCCCGTATTGCCAGACGAGCTTATCTCGAAAGTCACCAAGACCAACCAGAACTTAACAGTTAGAGCTCTAACTCAGCAGGGGGCCCAGCACTGCATGGGCCACACTGGGAGCAGAGACGTCTAATCTGTAAAAGCGGACAAAAGTGAGCGGCGAGGACCAGCTCGCTGCTGCACAAATGTCTTGGATGGAAACACCCCTGAACAAAGCCCAGGATGTAGCCAGACCACGAGTAGAATGAGAACGCAAACCCGAAGGTGCCTGCAGACCCTGACTCGTGTAAACCAAAGCAATTGCCTCCACAATCCAGTGAGAGAGCCGTTGCTTAGTANGATTGGCTGGTGATCTTGACGTCAGCGTCAGGGAATCCACCCCCTATAAGTAGCTTGCGCTACGCCGCATGCGTCATTCAAAATAAGCACCTCTTCTCGGCGAGAAGAGGTGCTTATTTTGAATGACGCATGCGGCGTAGCGCAAGCTACTTATAGGGGGTGGATTCCCTGACGCTGACGTCAAGATCACCAGCCAATCAGGATTGGCGTAATGAGATTGATGCTTCTGTTTGCTCCGCGATGAGGCGCAATAGTGAGACATCTCACTTCATGTTACTCTGAGAACTGGGGTTACGTAAGTAACCTATAGGTTTCTTACAAAATGTTTGATTTAGGTCAGAAAATCATTCTAACAATTTGTTCTAAATCATGGTGTATATATTGCTTATTTAACTATTGCCCCTCTATTTGTTATCTCAAAAAAGCAGGACAAATTTGCACTTAATCAAATTTAGTAAATGATCTTTTCATCAACAGTCTTTGTTCCTTCCCAGTTATGGCATTCTTCAAAGATGTTATAGGGCAATAACACTGGTATAATTAAGAGGTGATATGTTACCCTTTGCTTTTGGAAGGCAGGCTAAGTGTATGAGCTTTGAATGGTTAAATCACTATCAAGTGTACATAGTTCTGGTTTAGAAAAAATACATTGCGCGTATCATAGAATGAATAAGTTATTTTATTTCTATAAATAGATTAAAAACACAATTTTACAATGATTTACTTTCAACACAAACAACACATTAACATACATACAGCCTTAGCTTGGGCTAAATCTGACACAGAACCTTCATGAGAACTTCCAAACTGTTGACGTAACAGAGGCTGTAAACCCCAACAGTGTAAACGTAACATGGTTTTCATGCCCTCACACACAGACCAGACCGTATATACATTGTTTGCGCCAAATGCATATACACAATAAAACCATGAACATAATTGTAAATTAAGACTTTTTTACTGAATTATGAAAAACCTGAAAAAACAGCTTCAGAAAACAAAAAACTCAAACATGTTCTTCATATGTATTAAAGGGCCTGTCAATCGATTTGAGTGTGGTTGCAGGTTTCAGTCGTGAACTCTGGTGGTGGAACTGCTTTTTTTATATTTTGCAGATTCTTCACAGAATTGTACCTTTAAATAAATTCTACTTTGTGCACATTAGCATAGAATATCATTCAAGAGTGGATGCTTAAATCAGCATGTTGAGTATTCTTCAGGTAGGATTTAGTAGGGTGTAAATTGATTGCGAAAGCGGCGTAGGAAAAATTAAGTGCACTTGCACAAATAACGTGCAAGAGGCATGTGCACTAAATTAAAAGCAGCAGTTAAGAGTTGTATCAGGGGAACTATTTCACTGTTGTTCATTGTATTACATTTACCATACATCTTAATGTGAGAATGATTGAGCAAAACATTAAATCCATCCATACATCATACCTAAGACTTCAAGCAGCATTGTCATACAAATGGTTGAACATGGGGTGAGGGTTTAGTACAAGCCCAGCTTGTACATACAGTAACTATTTTCTCTCTTATAGTTTTAGTTATCTGAGCAAATAGTTGTCAGAATAAAAAATGAGATCTAAGAAAAAACTGCAGCATCTCAGAAACCCACAATTGAAAATGGTAATATAAATATGTCTCCACTATTAGTGAAAATACTGGAATGTTATGATGTTTTTCACTTTGCTATAATACTGATGGGTAAAATGTTCAGTTTAAAACAGACAAAAACCTCAAAGTGTTGTAGTCATTGAAAATAACACCAATACGACATTAGACGTGTGAATGTAGCATGTAGATGTTCAAACAACATCACATCACATGGTTATTAATGAGCCAGTTTTTTCCCATTAAGTTTCAGTCGGTGACAAAAGCGAAGCTTTCTATCGGTTCTGCCAGAGGCTGCTGTTTCCTGTCCGGACCGGTTCGCTCAGGAGTCTCTCTCGCCTGTCCGAGTACGGGGGGCGGCCGGGCGGCAGGAGGATGTAGTGCGTAGCGCTGGCCTGCCTGCCATCCTTCAAAATGGGCACAATGCAGGGAGAAAACTGGGCTGCAGGTGGCACACTTTCACTTTGCTGTCTCTGTAATGCTTTACTCACATATTTTGGGTTAGCAGCAAAACTCTGTGTGGCAGGCATCACACCATTAATATAAATCGGAAGGCTCTTGGGACTCGGGGTGCGCGGTGGGCAGGGTGGGACTAAGGGGACCCTTGGAGGTATTTTGGGAGGTTTATCTTCCTCGTTGGCACTCGCAGTCTTTGAGAGAGCAGAAGGTTTTGGCCGGATGGGGATACGAGGAGGGATTTGTGGCCGGTCAGTGGTGCTGGAAGAAGGGCCAGAACAGGAGACCAGAAGTCTCGATGATTGATATTGGTCATGCTGTTTGTTACACAGAGTGTCTGCGCCTGCATACACTACCTGCTGATGGTCTTCTCTCTGGAGAGCTAGGGACCAAAATCCACTGCCTCTACCTGTTGGTCTGTCCTCTCTGCTGGGCCAGGAGAAAGCCATGGAGCCTGACCCAGCCCTGGAGCTCTCCTGGTAGGCGTGATTCACCTGCCCAAAGTCTTTGTTCATCATCGTGCTAATAGCCTTGGGGCAACTTTTGGGCAAAAGACGCCGTCGGTCACTGGTAAAAAACTCCACCTCACTGTCGGCCGCCTCATCAGACATGAGCTCTTCGGGGTCGGGCAGCGGTGGAAGGGGTTTGGCTTCTCTCTGGTGGCCCCCAAACACTGTCCGTCTCTGGGAAGAAGGGACCACCTGGTCTCCGTCATGGGGACGCAGTATGTTATCAGACGCAAGGCGGTGCGTATCGGAGTAGAAAGGCGAGTGGGAGAGGGAGATGTTGCCTGGGAAAGGGAAAAAGAATCATGTATTAAACACCTGGCTTCTTAAATCCAAAAAAAAAATGTCAACTGTCCACCAAGAACCTGCTGCAATGTAATACATGGTTTTGCTATCACTGTTGGTTCCTTTAGTGCAGAAACAACTCTCAGAGGAAGAAACATGAAAAACAACTTCCAATGAGAGAAACTTTAACCAGTGTGTAGTGATGGTGTAGGAGGGACAGAATACCAGGGGGAGTGGGCTACCCACTCAACTGAGAAGAAAAAAAAGCCCATGTTTTGCTGAAGATATCTTACAGGAAACGAGAGTTAAAAACATGTCGAAAAACAACCGCTTAACCTATCGCCCTCTTCGTCAAACATCAGCCACAACACCCTGATTAACACAGCCATCGTCATTATCTTCGGGGCAGGCCATAATCTGAACGTAGCTTCCCATAACCTTCTCTGTGGAAACATCCGACGTGCCCCAGACTGCAGGAACAGCTGGTGACCAGGGAGCAATATCCCCCCTCTCCTCCTTCACTGCGCTCTCTTCTCTGGTACACAGCTCATCTAACCCCTGTCTACACGCCTTTTATTGGTCAAGCAGGACTTAAACTTAAGTTAGTAAATCCAAGACAGACAAGACGGACTTCCGAAACAAGATTTATAATGGCAGAACTTGATTTATTAATGTAGGTAAAGTAGCAAAACTGTACAGCACTTGTCAAACACTGTTAGTGTTTCCCAACAATTTTAAAAGATACAAAATATGGTCAGAAATACTGATATTTGTCACTGTACTTTGTTAACAGTATTTGGTTGCCCTATTTTTCAAATCTTGGTTAATTTCACAATTAAACAAGATTTGATGTCACTAATGATTGACGTTTCTTTTTATATCAAGGTTTAACAGTGACATCTAATGTAGCTCACCTCAATTAGTCCAAAACAGATCATAGTAGCAAATGTTTTTAGCTTATATTAAGGAAAAGAATAAATAAGAACACAATAAAGACTCACCATTTAACTCCTTGGCCATTTGCTGTTGTTGAAGCTGCGTCAGGTTTTGTTCCATTTCAGCACTGAGGCCAAAGCACTCTCTAAAAAAACAAGAGTGGGTTGAGAAATCCATACAGAGCTTTGCATGTGTGTAAATCATTCCTACACATAACCTGTCATGAGTAAGTCATTATACATGGCAAATAACAAGCATGACATATGCTCAAAAAAGAACATATGTTCTGTTCTCATTCATTTATTCACATTATGTAACACCATTGAAGCTAGCTCGAAGTCCTTCATGAGCCGTGTTCTTCATGAATGTTTGTTCTTTAGTTACCTTTAGCTACCTATATTAAACTTTGTTCTAATACTGTCTACACTGTAGATTATATATTACATGTTTTTCCATCCTGGATGAGGGATCTGGATCCCTTTAAAGATTACAGATTGTAAATGTTTTTGCTACCTAAACAAAATCATTCAAGAATATGATGGATTCCGGACCAGACATAAAGAAACAATTAGAGGATAAACTCAGGGAAGAATTTAAAATCTATGATAGTGAATGTTTAGTTTTATATGTTTAACATTTTGTGAGTTGTTTTATGTATTTAATAAGTATTTAAAGTGCCAGAATTATTCTCCTGACATTGTATGATGAAAGATAAAGTAGTGTTTGTATCGTCAAACGTAGAAATAAAAACGATTGCTTGTTTACAGTTTGATTCTATCAGTAATAAAGAGCTGTTTACGTACCTATTCAGGTCATGTTGTCCCCAGTAGTTATTCTGACTCCCGGCCATGTCGTGGCATGTATTGTGTTTTTAAAAAGCATGCAGGTCTGTTTAGTATCCATCCAACCCATCACGGCTTCGTTCTAGCCAGCAGAAAGCTGTTGGAGAAAGAAGAGAAAAACTATGAAATACGAAGCTTTTACTCCTTGTGAAACAGAAACACTTGTAAATTCAGATCTTGCTGTGTGTCAGAAAAGGCTTTACAGAAGGAAAAAAAAGGTGGAAAAATCCTCTACATTTGGCTTTTGCATTACATCACTCCTTTCATTTGTTCTGGTCACACCTTCGTCAGTGTGAAATGTTCATAAACAGCCCGGGCATATAAACAGCGCACATCTGGAGCGAGACCAGCTGCACACACTCACCCTACCAGGCAGGTCAAAGGTCGGGACAGAACAAATACTTAGAGGCTCGAAACACAAACACATGTCACCTATTGATAAATCATTTATATTATGAATACAGCATGACTATCATAACACACCTATATTACTCTCTCTGACATCACTCCAATTCAAAAAGAGAGCCGGCACATGACAAAAAGCATTTTGTGAGCGTAATAGGCAAGACATTTTTTCTCGAATTCTTTGAGTGTAATTAATAGGTAGATTCTTGAAACTCTTCATCATTTTGGGTAAGCAAGACACTGAAGTGGGGTGAATGACTTCAGTCTGGCCGGGCAGCTGCCATTAGCATGTCTTTGTGGTTGCAGCTTAAAGCCATTTGTCTGGTGGCTTATTGCACAACCCCTGGGTCAGATGTGGGAGGGCAGCAGCGCTCCTCGCCCTCCTTCCTCTCGGTGACCATGAAACCCTGCAGTATCCGCCCGTACAACAGGGGCTAATTGTGCAGCATTCCTTTGATGCTGCCTGACAGACTCCACCACCAACACGTGCAATAATAATGACAATACAAGTCTGTATTTAAGTTTTCTAGCAGAGAGTAGCAGATGCAGACTGTAAAAAGAAAAAGGACCTTAGTTATTGTGTAAAATATGTCGCTACAGTATTTACAGAAAAGTCCCCGTACTGAACCAGGATATAACTGTGACCCTCCGTCCGCCGCCTTTCACCATATCAGATGTAATCATCAGCTGGAATTCCAAGATTTTTTTTATTTGATTATAGATAGAAGGGGGAGAGAGAAGGAATGATGTGCAAAAAAGCACTGAAATACCATTATGAGCAGTCATTTAATTGAGTTACTTATCAGCCAGTAATATATTGGCACCAGATATTTATCTTTTACTGTTTATACAAACTTGTTGTTTATGTTTACTATCTCTTTCTTAATGCGCAATGCATTTCTACATGCTGCTGTAACAAAATAACTTGGGACCAATAAAAGTATATCTTTATCTTATCTAATTTTATATATAGTGCATCCCTAGTCTTCTACGTGAAAGGTGACACAGTAGCTTTGCTTGTATTGCTTGACTCACAAAGTGGAAGGTCAAAATGTTAAACAATCCATATGACAACTCTGGGAGTTTTAAAGTGAATTCTGTCCTTCCAGAAGGGTTGCTTCTCAGTACCCTGTGGGCCCTGACTCTATTATAACTAGCTTTGGATAATTGTAATATTTGTGTAAAATGACAGATGCTTCATGATCTTATAATAAAATGGTTCCCATGCCCATAAACACTTACATTAGACAGCTCAATTTCAAAATAAAATGGTACCACTGAATGAAAAATCCATTATAAATCTACGTTCCTGTCTGATTTATATATCGATTCACCTGCAAACTATTAATTAGTAACCCCCTCCCTCCTACTCACCCGGAGGGCAATGCTAGGTCTTGACTTTCCAATCAAACTACAATCTTATTCTTCAACGTCCTGCATTGTTTCATGTCACTGCCAGGCCTACAGTCCATGTGGGTGGCAAACAATGCAGAGCATGCATAATGCAACACAAAACCACCACAAACAAAACAATGACCCATGCGTCTATTTGAATATTTATGTCATCCTTAAAACAACCGACTGTGGCGTCATATCCGCCAGTGATCCTCGGAGATGGAAGACGCTGAACAATTATGAATTCTACCGGCAAGTACTCAGCGTCCATGAATGGAGCCACTCTCAGGCATGAATGGGGCTTTGTGTCACTTTGGTGCGCAGTAAAGCAAGCCTGAAAATACAAGTGAACTCTCCCATGAGGTTAGGACTGAAGATACGCCATGGAGACAAGCAGACATGGCCAAACTATGGGCTGTGCAGCAAATCCCCTGCAGGAGGACTGTGCACACTGGGCACTGTTAAAAGAGTAGCCAGAGGCTGGAAAACAATTTGTCATCTCATGCAGGAGCCTTGATGTGTTGTCCTTGGCTGTGACCACTTTGCTTGTTTCAGGAAAATAGGCCATTCACATACTGGACCTTTACAGATTATTTAATTAAGGAGCTGGCATAAAGTATGAGCTTCACATCACCTGATTACAACTTGCTGCTGGCTGAGAAACACTCACAGCTTAGCAGAGAGGACAGAAATCTTATCAAATGCCTTTATTGACAATAATAAATAATGCAGCAGTATGTGGGTTTCATATCTCAACAACACATGTATTTGCAGCCTAGATAACAGTCTATTTTACCAAATTATCTAAAATTAGACAACTACAGTTGCATTCAATAAAGGAAATGCATCTACTGGAGAAATTGCACATCCCACCTGGCTAATATGCCACATGCCAACTAGCATACAATTTAGCAACTATTTGACATAAATTCATAATTACATTGTTTGAATTTATTTTTTCTAATTTACCCTTTTACTCTTATTCTACCTATTATTATTTTAGAAACGTTAGGTATTGTATGAGCAACTGAAAAAGAAAACATTTTAATCTAAACTCAAATTAGATATGGGAAAGAATGCTTATGAATCATTATATTTCTGGGATTGACCAATTTCACGTATAAACTATACTGTAGTTTACACAATAATGATCATGCAGTCTGTTATAATATGACTACTTTCAACACATTTCAGATAGTTGAGAGCCATATTTAGGTCTGAAGTGGATTCAATAGGTGTTATTGGTAGAAATGACCAAGATTACAGCTGAGCTGAGTCTGGTTTGTTCACCTGCAGGTGTGGAACATCAAGTTAAGTTAGGCCACAGGATAGAGGTAAGGGTTAGTGACAGCTGTAAACTGACATTCTGATTGAGTTATGCTTTACATTCAATAAATCAAATGTTTATATTAACCCTAATATAAGGTAATATAACAATGCCTACAGTCCAACATTTCTGAAAGTTAGAAAACAGCAAGAGTGGGGAACAACAAGCTTTATAGGCTAATTATCCAACCCATACAACATTTCCTCATTCATTCATATCCAGTTTTGATTTGTGATACCTGATATAACCTGATATAAAAAAATGAAAGATATAAAAGGAACTTAAGTAGGTTAAGAGAGCCATTCATGGATATAAAACGAAGGCAAACTATCTGGTGAAGCAACAATAACAAACTGAAGTTCAATACTGTTCAACAATTAGTAACATAAGTAAGTCCAAATAAATTGAATACAATTCTTGCTCAACTCACTTCGCTAACGGCATTGTTAGGTGGGTTTACAATTATAAGATTAAAGTATACTAAAAATGTAGGGTAGTTTAGATACTAGATAGGCTAGTTTAGATAGATAGATAGATAGCTAGATAGATAGATATTACACTTTTTCAAAGCTATTCTTTTTTGCATTAAATTGGACCACACTCCACACAGCCACTCCACTATATGTCCCTGTTTGCGGCGCCCCCTAGCGGCTGGCCGGGGCGGGCCGGCAGACTCACTCATCCCGCCTCGATGGGGCTTCACTCGGCGGACGGGCGGACATCCATAAACTGAGCAGCAGGTAAAGTATGTACAAATAACCGAGATAAAAGAATTCAACACACTATTCAACCATAGGGGTTTCTAGGAAGAAGAAACAAACGTCACTATCTCTGGACAAACCACCGCGTCCCGGTTCGTTGTACCTTTAACGTAGGCTAAATTAAGTTCCGCCGGAGGAATACCACACCGAGAGCTTTATTGTTATCAGAAATATTTTTCAATAAACAGGCTCCTCCGCTCACACGGAACCCTGCCCCTGGTCGCTGAGTTAAAGTGGATTTAAAGCCCCGTTTTCATCAAATAACTTGTAATGTTAATAGCTAAAGGAAAGGAAGTCTTACCATGAAAACGCTGACCACTTGTCCATCACGTAAGTGTCCTTGACCTTGTTCCTGTCCGAAGTGAGACAAATAAATCTGTAGTTTCTGTGGCAGTCAGAAAGTAACCATGTGCAACATCCCTCCTCTCACAACAACACTGGGAGCTGAAACTCGTTTTTGTCAGCGTGACGCGCATTTCCACATCTCCTTATAAATGCACCCAACACTTCAGCCTACTGTAACTCCACCCAACTCCCTCTTAAAGGAAAAAAACCCTGAAGCCTGAAAACCATTAGGAAAAACTAAACACCATTAGGACAAGTATTTATTGGCGTAAAAACCTGCTGGGGTGGAAAATAACCACATGTTCTGTGTTTTTTGTACTTTACATGAATTTGACTTCACTTTTATTTATAGGGAAATATTGTTTTTAAATCATTTTTATTGAATCCACTATATTTAAAGACAACTTGTTTCTTTGCATATTGAAAATAAAAACAAGACAACATGTATTGTGTAGGACTATGTATTTTTCTTGTTAACTGCAGAATCTACATGGTTCAAATCAACTCTTTTTTTCAAAAAGGATATGTATTGTTTCCTTCCAGAACTCCAAAGAATCAGTCCAATGCGTCTTACAGATGAATGTATATTTATATATAGAAAACAAATAAAACAGTAAGTTTAAAAAAGCAGCAAGTTTAAAAAGCAGCCGGTACAAATACAATTTAAAATCATATCCTAAAAATGAAAATACACAAATAGAAACAATAATAATATGATTAAATGTAGAATTTTTTTTCATAAAGCGGATACACATATAAAAACAACTCAGAAAGTAAAACATTTTTTAATCTGGCGCATCAATAAAATGCTGCTTACATTAGGGCATTAGCAGCAACAATCCAATAACAGGTCAACCAGCAAAATGTTGCTTTCGAAACGTACCTTTCTTTTACTTTACTACCTTACTTGGACTTATATCCATATTTTTTTACCAGTGATGAAATCAAGAGATCTGATTCTGAATACATCCTCCATCAGTGTAAACGAAGAGGTGGATTTTCAGTAAAAAATTGGTTAAATAAACCCATACTCACACAGAAACTCCCTGAAGCTGCCGCTATTAACATGTGTGTCCTCATTCAGTGTCCTAGAAAAACTGGATATCAAGGATCAGCAAAAATCATTTTTTGAGAACTTAAAGGTCCCATGTCATGCTTTTCCAGTTATTACCCGTCCCCTTGTGTGTTATGTAGCTTTTTATGCATGTAAACGGTCTGCAAAGTCACAAACCCTCAAAGTACACCCTGTAGCGAGTAAAACTAACACAGACTGCCCCAGAACGCCTCGTTGAAGATTTTTCTTTTTCAATTTTTTTCTTCCTGGTCATAGTGACGTAACGGTCATAGCGACGTAACGGCTCAGGCTGAGTTCCGCAGTGTCTCGCTGTCTCGCAGACCCCATGCAGCAACCAGGAAACGACACCAGTAATCCAGCTCACACTGTCCGCTCCTCGAGCCTCAAAGGGCGGGGTAGCGAGCCCCGCAACGTCCCGCCAACACGGCACCCAGACCCCACGCAGCATTCTCATCTGTTTGTCATTACTGGTGTCATTTTCTGGTTGCTAGCAAACGCCATTGTAACACATAATCACTGATGTTCCGCTGTAACGGTGGTGACTCATCCGAACGAGTGGGCGAGCTGAACAAATGCAGAGCCAAAGTGGGCTCATAGGGAGGTGGGGGGGGGGGGACAGGAGCTCCAACGAGCCATTTAGGACAGAGAGTGAATACACAACTATACAGAGATGCTGTATGAGAAACCAATGTGATTTTGGAACATTGAACAATGTAAATCTATTTTAGTAGACCTCAACAATGGAATTATGATCAGTAGAAATGGCCATGTCATGGGACCTTTAATTGATTCATAGATAATGTACGTTAATGTTCATAAATCAGAATTCCAATTTACCAAACAATGTTCTAGCTACACAAAGTAACCTCGGGTCAAAGAACCACAATGCCTAGAGACGTCCACAATTAGAATAATAATCATTGTATCTTCCTTGTGTGATGACTGTATGGGAAATTGCCCTTCATCAGGCAGTAAACAATTTTGGTGTGACCTGTGTGGGAGTCGGACAGTGTGTGGGTGGCTCTTGGCATGAGTACAATATCTGACTGATAGAGAAGAACAAGCACAAAATTGGCAGCCCGGTTATGGAGGATCGTGACTTGTTTTGAAGCCTGGATGTCACAGAGGAGTTCACTGTCTGTGTTTGTCTTCACCCACGCAGAGAGGCAGAAGGACAATACAGGAGGCCATTTACTAGAAAAATAACAGGGAAGTGAGTGCAAGTCATTGCCACATTATCTTTTTACCGTGGTAACAATCTAAATAAATCATCAGGAAAATATCAAATTACATATTGTAAAACGCTGAATAAAATAAGCAGCTCGTAAAAGTATAAGAGAGATGCCCAATGACCCTATGACCTCTCTTCCTTCTGTCCTAAAAAATTCCACCGTTTAAATGTTCTAATAAAATCCTGATAGGGTCATATATTGAGGAGTGCCTTATAGACTTTCTGTAAATCACGTACCCACAGAATAAATACACCAGTGATGTGCCTCTATTGCTGCAATCATCGCTTGTTCCTCTTCCACCAGCGTAACTTGTTTGCTTAAAGGAAGACTCATACTTTTTAGCAAATAAGCTGCTTGGTCAACTTCCTGTTGTGCAACGTGCAAAGTGACTGGTATCACGTGGGACTTCAGTGTGGCATAAAGAAGTGATACTGCTGCACTCAACCAATGTTAGACATGTCCTTGGAGAATAATAGTGCAATTCACCCTTTCATATGTTCTGTTTTCTTGTGTAGGTGTGAAATCGCTTTCCAAATTTCAACGTTTTGCCACCTGGACCAGCAGCCTTTCTGCTCTGCTGTGGCTCCGCAGCCCTCTGTGGGCGCTGGTGGACGACCCAGGATGCTCAAAGCTGTGGGGGTTGTTGTCGGGGTGAGCCAGTCTCCCACAGGGGAGGTCAAGTCATTTCCTGCTCTGAGAGGCCTCCGTCCCTCACAGCTGTCAGGGCAGTCAGAAGCCCACCTCCTACATCTGTAGCCCCCACCCACCTCCTTTTTCAAAGATTTGATGGATTGCTCTGAAGGAACTCCCTCATGCTGCTACAAAATGAAAGATTGATGATCAAAGTCGGACCAGAATCAAGGCCTGCTGTTTTATTTATTTATGAGCTGAGAGACAAGAAACATCAAGATTAAATCAGGAATCAATAGTGAGAAAAAGTTGATAACAAACAGCGATAATAACTTCTGAAATATCAAACAAGATTCATCTCTTTCAACATGCTGTGAAAAGCAGATAACCCCTGAAACGAGAAATATCACGCAAGATAAATGTCTGCCCACCACCCATCTAACAATGTCTCTAGCTGGAAAAAGGAAATAAGCAAAGTAGGTGTTAACATACGTGTCCTATGCTAAATACATTTGTGTAGGTTGATGTGCTGACATGGTGACACAGGGAATTCTCTTATGGAGGAACCAGCTGTGTACAAACATGTAATAGTAATTAGAGCCCCGTTAGACTGCAGACAGATAATCCTGCTGCTGTTTTCAAAGTCATGGTCGACCTGTCTCATGTTTGAGTTTCACATTCCTCTTAATCGTCCTTCCTGAGATTCAATGTTAGAGGTTGTAACAAGAAAAATATGTGTATCACGGCTATGGTCATTAGATAAACATTTTTAAATGGATGATTAGTTCACACTCAGTTATAGCCTTGTGCAAGACGTTGGAAATTCTTTCTAATAAATAGAGTTTTATAGTAGATGTGTAAAATCTGTAATAGGCTCATAAATAATAGGATGTCATCCGTTTCAGTTCTTGAAACAAAGAGAAATTCTTATGAAAACGATTTAATTGCACCTCTTTGTTACCACCCACCACTTCCTGCAGCCTCACATGGAACGGTCATGTTTGATGTTTTTATTTCAAAGGAGTCTGCAATACAGAGGGTATGGTCTGAACGTATTTTTTTATGAATCATTTTTGGAAATAAGGGATAAATAGGTTTAGAAAAGGTATGATTAAGTTCTGAATCACTGCCATTTATTGCTACTGTATGCAGAGTTGTGTGTGATTTGAAAAACAGACCCTTCATTTAATCTTTTTAAATTCAATGGGTCTGTGGTTTGGTCTGACATGTTGGAGGCGTCAGGGAGAAATTAGGCTCCTCAAATGTCTGAGTGGGCTTCGTACCACAACCTTTGACCTCATCCCGTGAGGAGACAGCTCAGTTATCAAAGAACCACCCGGAAGAAGAGGAGGACGGGCTGAAGAGAGATGTCTGTGCTGCCTTTGATTGTTGGATAGATCAGGAACTGCACTGAAGGCCAAAAGAAAATACTTCCTGTGAAATATTTTTTTCTTATGCTAAATTGATTGATATGAATGACACACATAACAGTATATACCACTGATGTTTCCTGCAAATGTAGCTACAGCTAATTAGGGGATGAGAGTTGAAAAACACACACATAAATACACAAGCACAGTTTTATGTGTAGTGGAGCTATACCTATAAACGACAAGAAAGCAAAATACTTTTTTTTCCCAGGGTACCAACTGAGAAAAACAAAAGAGAGTCAGTGAGAGGAAGTGGCAAGGATTAAAGTGATTTAAACCCGTGACATCTGATTTCACGGTGACAGCTACAATAAACGGCAGAGAGCTGAGCATGAAAAGAGCAATTCTTTACCCAGGATGCAGCACTGCAGGCGCAGGCAGCTTCCCTTCCCCTGATTTCAGTGTGGAGAGAGGGTCTGCAGGCCCAGCAGGAGGCCTTCCGCCGCACTGTGAAGTTAAGCTCCGATTCATTCAAAGTTTCAATTGAAATAAGTGACTGAAAACATGAGAAAAAAAGGCTTTTTACTTCAAAAACTGGAAAAATGATCAGGGTTAGGGATTTTTCGCTTCTGAGAAGCAACTCTCGAAGTGAAAAATATCATTTGTTTGCACAGATGTCACAGGATGACACTGTCCATTTTTGCTTGTCTTCACAGTGTTCACATTTTGTTCAGAGGTCAAAGTCTTTTTGAATCACCACAGAACATACAGGGTCACCTTTCAGCAGAGCAATGGAAACTAGTTTGTTATAGTATGTTTGGTAATCTTGCTGTTCAACGGCTGATTATTCAGTGTGTGTTTCTGCGGGTCATGACTCAATTGTGGAGAGTCATGGTTGACAGATTTCCTTAGAAAACTATGGAATGATGCCTGCTGCCAGTCCTTGCATTACAAAGTTCATCTGCTTTTTTTCCTTTCAATCTCTCCTCTCACGCCCACCATCCTTCTCTCACCTTACTTACTCCTGCTCCATCATTTCCTGTTGAGTCACAGGCAGAGCCAGACTGCAACATGTTTTACGTTTTACTGCTCCCCTCTTTGCTTTCCTCTTCCACTTCCTTGTTCACAGATGCCTGTCTTGTACGGGATAATAATGCAGTGTGACATATAATAGCCCTCCAGCATATTTTAAAGAAAGTAGAGCACGAGAAATGTCAAAGCAGACGTAGGAGTCTCTTCCTGGCAACATGACTGATACATGCAGTAAATTACTCTAAGGATCATAGGATTATCAACTCTGCAGAAAACTAACCATAAAACTTGCCACAACATGTCATCAGTCTATAGCTTAATCAGAAAAATAAAAAGCCTCAAGCGTAAAAGATACAGTGAGAAAAACTTAATCAATGTATTAAATCATACAAAATCAATCTTTACAGATCCTTTCTGTTAATATTGACCACTGAGAGACTCCTTGGGAAACGTTCCTGCATTGCTATTGGTTTTTAGCATCTGTATGCTAATAACATTCGAGGAAGTGATGCTGTGGTGAGGTAAGTGGTGTGGCAGTGCGTGCCTGTGTGTGAGGGAGGGTTGAGGGCAGGGCTCTGAGAAACGAAAGGGCTCTGGGGTGGACTGGTTGAGTCATTCAGAAATGTTGCTGCTGACTCAGTTTGCAAACTTGTCTTCAAGAGCACGTCGCCAATCTGGAATATTGTGTGTGTGTTTGATCTGTACTTGTGAGGACAAAACCTCTTAGAGACAGGATACTCCTCCTAGTTGATCGTTAGAACTCTGAAAAAGATTTTAAGATATATAGACAGAAGCTAACACTATTAATTTAGATTTCATCCTATCATAAACTACATTCTTGTGGTTTGTTTAAGAATTGCTCAAATAATTACCAGGGAAATTACATCAAATGGAACAAGAAGCTTTGAAGGAGTGCCTATGCACACCAATGCTGTAATCCCATCCTGGCAGCAGGTCAAAGTTTTTCTGTGATTCAATCATTTCGTCATTTCTTCAGTTTTCTTTACACACCCTTCTTGCCACAGCAGTCTTATAACTAAACTGTGTCGGTCAAACCATCGACACAACGTGATCCATTGGGGAGTATGGACTCTGGGACATACTCCAAAATTAGTCATCATCCTGAATGTGTTGCAAGGTCCAAGAATGGCTTGCTGTTATGTTCAGAGGGTAATTTAGAAGGACACCTCCCTCCATTATGGAATGTGATATTTGATAAAAGTGTACAGCTCTTTTACCTGAGTGTTATGCATTCTTGTATTTAAAACAGTTTTTAAACTGTATTGAACTTCATTTTTAACACAAACTAAAAAGTATTGAAAAATAATGAGCTGCAGTTGTTTCTGAAAAAGATACCTGCAGCCATCCTCTGCTTCAGTCCAGTTCAGACCAGGTTCAGACCTACAATACAATATCAAATGGGTGCCAAGTCTGCCAACAGTTAATTTACAGCAAGGACGTCGCGTTTTCCAATACTGTATGATATAATCAATTCAGAGCATCTTTGAAGTGAAACTGAAATGTATTCAGTAAACAGATAAAAAACTAAATTGCCTATCTGGAAACAACTTTAGCAGTAGGCTAAGTCATAAGCGCCATAAACCAATCAATGACTTGATGATTCACTGCTCATTTTAAATACTAACTCAGCCTGTGCTTGTTTGTGTTAAACTGGCGAACTGGTGTTACGTTTAATTAACAATTAATTACATGTATTTTATTTTGTGTCTGATGTTATTTAGCAAAGTCACCGCTAACGTCTAAGCACCAAGCACATATCACAGCAGTGTGGCATTAGCTAGCTTAGAATGAAAAAATAACAGTTAACAGTTGTACATTTGAGCTGCACATAACGAAACGTTGCTCATTTACTTACCCAACATAGACGGTAAATAACGACTCGTTATATTTTCTCCCCATCACATAGTTTGAACTTGTTTTAACATTGCCTATCTTTAGTTATTTAACTATCTAACTGCCGAATCAAGGGTAAAGGCAATGCACCAAATTCTGCTAACGCTAATTCAGTTAATGCTAGTTAGTTAGCTAATGCTAGTATTGTAATATTTACCATTTTAACACTAGTAATTGTGTTTATTTAGTTAAGTGTTTGTTAGGCTCACTTACTAATAAACTACCCAGGTGAACTAGATGAGTGTTATGCTAACTCGTTTAAGAAGTTAGCAGTGTGGTAAAGCTTAATTTTATTTTTCAGATTTATAACCGTAGTTCAACATGAGTCGGCGATCATCTGCCGGCAGGAGTCTAACCCTGGTGGATTATTGTAAGTGATGATCTTCGTTATATACACATCTTGTAACTGTGTAACTATTTACTGTCAATTTCCGGTCGTAATCAATAAAACACTTAGAAGCTTTATGATAGCCTACATCACGTTATGCTACTTGCTTGCTATGTTACACACATAGGTTACACATAATAAATAACAGCTTGCTAGATTAGCCAGGTATATTTCACACCAATCACTGTAAAATTAAAAACGACCTCCGTTCGAAAACCCTAAATTATTGTATATTATGAAAAATACATAGCTAAATAAATCATATTTATATTTCAGCTGAAACAGACCTGAACAAACTGCATCAGCAGTATCGCAAAGCAGAAGGAACAAAGAAAGCATATACTGAGAAAACCCAGTTCCTTATCTGCAGAGACAAGTAAGTGGTGTCCTTTTTATTTACCAATTTGTGCCAATATATTTAACAAAGATATGATGCCACATGCTTACTAGCATCATATTTAAATGCGGTGTTCTTTTAGTCTACAAAATAGTCATAATCATACTGTGTCTCCAGATAAATTAAAGGGGAAGGCATGTGCAAAGGAAGAAACGTTGTTAAGTCAACCTTGCCAGGAAAGTCTGCCCTGTAGATCCTAAATAGTAAGAGTGAGAAGTGAAAACAGCAGTTAATAATTAAAAAAAAGATACTAATGTAGATGTTTAAGGCATCAGTTCTTTGTTTAAGTTAACTGGAGGTGTAACTTGTTTCACATGTTTTTCCAACCACTGTGTATAAATATTTGCTTGTGTCTGTTTGATCAGCCGAGAGATCCAGAGGCTACTGGAGGAACGTGAAGAGCATTTACGCAGTCTAAGGTTTTCTCAGAGTAGGTTTACCCGTTGGACTGATACTAGTGTTGTTCATGACCTCACTGACATGTTGGTCTATGGGGACAAAATAGAGCAGGAGTGGCAAGCAGAAAAAGGCAAAGTGGCATCTTTGAAAGAACAGGTGAAGTGTGTTTTTCATGCCAACCAGTGAAATTCTCTTGATATTCTTACCACAATTCACCTGACTTATTTTGAAATGTTTAAAGATCATACAATGGGAGAGGAAGTTGGTGGAACAGAAGACTGGTGGGGGAACTACACAGTTCAGTATAAAACCTGGGAAATACTTACTGAAAAACACTTTTTTCATGGAAAACAAATTGCACAGGGTTAGTGTTAATGTTTCACCAATATGTCCTATATATATATTTTTTTGTTATTCCACCTTGACACCTGTTACTGACAAACACAAACTTCAATTAAGGTATATTTCTATTCTAGGCTGGAAAAAGCTTCAATACAACGATGAACAGGAATGGAGAGTTGAGGGATGAGCTGAAGAAAATGCAGATGGAGAAGAAACAGTTCCTAAATGTTCAATCTCGCCTGGGAAAGGTACATTCACTGAACATTAGTCAGTTCCTAAATGAGCTTTTTTCAGTTTTATATAGCTGCAGAGGACTTGTCTGTTAATTGTTGAGATGGTTTAATGTGGGAGGGCCAGTGATGGGGTCTTAATATTATGTTGAGAATGTAGACAACCATCTCTGTTTTATGTCATCCAGGAGCTGCATGCACTTCGCAAGGATATTGGTAGCCTGATGGCTAAATGCACTGAAGCCTTTAATGCCAGGTAAACAATTTAGCAGCACTCTAAATGTAGTTTATATATTTTAAATATATTTGCCTTTATTATGACACACTGTGTTAGGTTAGAGTGCATATTCATATTTTTTCTCAACGGGTAGAGGAAAGAAAAGGCATTTGTTTTGACAGTAACTATTGTACTTACAAAGCAGTTCCACTTTATTCAGCTGAGCCTTAAAGGTTCTTATATGTCTTGATATCTAATAGATGACAAATAAATGCATTATAAAGTGATACAGTTGAGTGTCTGCTTACATTTGACTATAATATTTTTTTGGTAGCTAACATCTTAGATTCAAGATAAAGTACATCCACAATGTATAACTCTCCAATGTGTTGTATATTTATGGCTACACCTAGTGTGAAGTTTCAGGAAAGACAGAGGATGCTGATGGAGCAGAATGCTAAGGATGTGGAACAGTTCATCAAACAGAACAGCAACCTGGAAAAAGAAATGTCTCGAAACTGCAACTTTGAGATTTTCCTTGACATAAAGGATTTTGCACGCAGCTGGGACAAGGGTAATTTATATCTTATTCTTTGAACAAAAATATGCTTTGCCACCTTTCTAACCTGAGACCAAACTGTGTCATGCATTTGAAGGGATCAATATAATGTTCCTTTGTCTTTTTGAACTTAAAGTTTAATGATGATTGTAACCTGTATCGTATATATAATATTCACATTTTTGCAAACAAAAATGCCTCGTCAATATTGCTCTGATATTGCACACTAATCTGATATTTTTCAGTGCTAAAACGCATTCTAAATACTACTAATTAACTACTAATAAAATGAATTAATGACACCCTGTGTTCAAAATATGCTACTGCATGACCCGCAAATGCCTGAACAAAAAGAACATTTTTCTATAGTAACTTTGTATTAACATCCAATTAGTGTTTTGTATTTAATGACACATATTTCCATTTCTGTAATTCAAGGCCTCTGCTGAGCTTCTTTGGCTCATGTTCATGGATTTTCTTTTATTATCAAACCATTTTGAATCAATGTTTTACATTTTAAATATAACATGCCTTTAGTAAGTGAATATTTGTATCTGTAACCCAATACACAGAACATATAATTACTTAATTCCGTTTATAACAACACCTTAGTAAAATATTTCCCCATCAGGTATTATAGTTAAAGCAAGGACATTTTAATATATGGTTCTCCTAAGTTTCATATCCGTCCCTACAGTGAAGGGCAAGCAATTGGATTCTAAGGAATTGGGTCCAGAAGATTTTGAGGATGCTATCAAAAACATCCTCGAAGTGACAGAAGAAAGTGACCTGGACAAACTTGTCAGGAACTTCCTACAAAGTAAGTCCTTATTAGAACAATTAGAGGGGCAATGGAAATTGTGCCTCTTTAACAGCAATTGAAATATGTTGTGATTTATTTCCAATAGTGGAGGAGAAGACCTACACTTTAATGAAATTTGTCAACTATCAGCAAAAGGAAGCAGAGACCCTTCAAAGGCAGATCTCTCAGGTAGGTTTTTCTCTGTGTATGACTGTGTTAAGAAGGAGAAAAGAAGAAAATAAATATAATTGCGGTTATGTCTTTGACTGAAAGCGTTGCAATGAGAGAGAGATGTTTGTAGCTGAGAAACAGCGGCAGCAGGAGCAACATCAGGCTCTTCAGATTAAAGTCTCCATCGAGCAAGAGGTGATGGAGCACCAGCTGGCAAGTTTCCAAACGCGCGTTGAGTTCATGGAAAAGCTCCTAGATCAGCTCAAAGAAGGTACTGCGTAGGGCAACCCTGCATGACATTATCTAACAGAAATGTATATAGTGCTTTCCTAGTGTCAGCATTCACCAACACAGAAACAGAAAGTACTCACCAGGAGAGTTAAACATTCACAAACAAGTGTTGTCAATGCCATGGAGATGAATTGGGGTTCAGTTAAGTGCCCAAAGACATTTTGTCGCAGCCAATGCCGCCCCCTGCTGATAGAGTTTAGCAATTTGTGTCTTGTATTTTCTCAGTAGAAAACACAGGTATTGTCTAAATAAATAACATTGGGTGGGATTACACAAACTGGGTTGGAGTTCATGTACTGTTAAATCATTTGTTTATTCATGTAAATGTGCTCTGTGTTAAATGTAGATGTAATCTTGACAACAGAACCAGTGGGCAAAAGTAGAGTACCTTTCATGCCAGTCATCAGCTATAGTACACATGAATAAGTATAAACAAATGTGGTAAATAGCTCATAAAATGTATAAAAAGGAAACTTTCATCTACCAGTGGAAGATAGAATTAACATTACAACAGTCTTGTAGATATATTGTACTTTTTTAAATCTCATAACTAGTTTTACTAGGTTGCGAGTCATTGCTTCAGATAAGCGGTGACAGCTCTGAGATCTGCAACCAGTTGGGCTCCTCTGATGGAGTGCAGGAGGAAAACATTGCAGAATACCTGACAGAGGTGGAGAACAGAGTCAATGAGCTTCTCTCTCTGCAGTCCTTTCTCCATTTCCAGGAAAACGTTAAAAACCAGTGGGTAAGTGAATATGAAGAAATGTAAATGGTGCATGGAAGTCTGGCAACCGGAAAGACTTCTGCATATTAATATTCTTTCCCGTCTCCAGGACATTGACAATCTGAGCACCATCGCTGGGCAGCTCCTGGGAAAGACCCCCAGAGCTGTGAGACCCCCCTCTGCTGCTGAGACCCCTGCACCTGTGTAGGTGTTGTTTTAATCTCAAGGTTCAAGGCTTTTACCAGTCATACGTACATAGCTACAGTGTAGTTATGACGATGAAAATCTTAGGTCCCAGGCTCCTCCAACAGTGCAACACAATAGTAAATACAAAAAGAAAAATAGTGCAATAGTGCAATAAGAATCTATATACAAGTGATTGGAATATAATATATTAGATAAATCATTTCTAAGTTGCAGCCAGATGAATGTTATGGATGTTGTTTCAAAGGTTCAGGTGTTTAATAGTCTTATGGCCTGTGGCATGAAACTGTCCCTGAGTCTGGTGAAGAATCTAGATAAGTGTGCACGTATCAGACATGAAGCTAAAACGTTTATGATATATATTTCTTAATCAAAGGCCAATAGCGACACCATAAACACAGAAAACCTCTTGTTCTCTTTAATTATTATCGTTTTAATGTATGCATTTACAATCTCAGTGCGGACCCAGACCTTTTGGAGTCGGTGCTGTTGGAGGCAAAGGAGCCAGTGAGGAGAGATGTTCTACTGACACTGGTCAAAAAAAGGGTGAGTGTAACTCAAATACTTCTCAATTCCTTCAAAATGTAACAATTAAAAATGATGTTGTTTTGAATATCCAGTTACCCACATTAAGAATTATATCTGTCACAAAATGTAACCCATCTATGTAGGTTGATCATTCCATATTAAAGCTCTCATCCAATAGCTGATTTAAGAAGGTTTATTGAATGTAAATGACAAAAAAGAGGTTTATTATTTTTTTCCCCTCAGGCTCAGAGGAAAAAGAAGACTGACTGATGTTGTCAGTCGATGCTGCTCCTGAGCCAGCGGAAACAAGTCTGTGCTGGGATTTGTACTTTTTAAAAGCTTTATTATATTGTATGCTTCTTTAGTGAATGTTTAGATGGACATAACATGTTGTAAATCAGTTATTGACTTACAAGAAGATGGGGAGGTAGTGGCGTTTATGTAAATCAATGTGAGTTTCTTAACAGTCAGTGGTACTTATGAATTAAAGTAATGTATCTTTGCTCTTTCTTAATCCTTCTTTTTTGACATTAAAGCCCAAAGCATTTTAAGGTGCCATTTAAAGTGACAGATAGACGGGCGACAAAATATCTGTTAAAACACACTGACAAAGGCGTACGACAGAGAGGCAACAACAACAACAACTCAAAGGCAATTTAAATTACACAGACATTTTTTACTAGAAAGTATAAGAATACTCACATTAACATAATTTCTTCATAATAACAATATGATATGCTTAAAGGTGGGGTAGGTAAGTTTGAGAAACCGGCTCGAGATACACTTTTTGTTATATTCCATGGAATGCTCTTAACATCCCGATAACAATGAATATCTGAAGTGCTTTGACAAAAGATCCATAACAAAATGTCATCTGTGGAAGCCGTAGTACTGTAAAAAGCACGACCAATCATTTTAGCCGGCCCGGCTAAAACAACTGGATGGCCTACCTGCCTGTCAGCCTTCCATCTGTGCACAAACTTATCTCGTGCCCTCATTGGTCATTCGCGCGTTTGTGTGTGTTGGAGGAGGGGCTCTGTAAGGAAGTGGCAGATTTTCTCCGGTTGTGTATTTTCCAATTCTAGCGCACTCGAGCTGGTTTCTCCGAAATTACTTACCCCACCTTTAACAACAAATTATAAAATAATTGGCATAATACTTCATAATTAAAAGATTAACAGGTTCACACATTCATTCACTTAAACAAACGTTCATACACACATCACACAGTATTAAAATCCCTGAGCAACATACAGTAAACAATCAGGCCCATTACAGTCCACGATTTGGCCCTCGGCTCAGATGATTGGTCTAACTTTAAAGAGTGAACAGCTGCAGTAAGCTGATTGGGTAAAAGCAGGAAAGAATAAAATGGTGACGCTAAGCTTCATTATAGTGTTTGATTTTTAAGGTTTCATCAGTTTCATTTTTCCAGTGGTCTATCTGTGGCCAGGTCCCCACAGTACACCACCCGGCCCTCCAGCCGCGAGCGCTCAGCTTCAAACACCAGCAGGTGGCTCAGCAGCGTCTCCTCAGGACCAGAGCGGATCAGGGACGGATCATTGTTCTGCCCTCACAAAAACACAGAAACACACATCAACCAACCATTCAGGGTTTTCAAGTCCTATAGAGAGGCGAAGTCCCGCCCATCTACTACTTCATGGGATTTCGGAAAAATTATGTATTGAAGTCAATGGGGAGAGAAAGATTATCTTTAGATCCCGTTTGAATTGTGCCACAAATTACACACATGATGTTTGTCAATCTTAAAAAATCATTTCCAAGTCAAAAAAGTCAGTTTGTCGCAAAACTGTTGAAATATAAGACTATGAAAAATACGCAACTAGAAAGACTACAAATCCCAGAATCCCGGCCCCGCATGCTGGCTCTTACGGAACCGACTAACTCCCCTTTTGTGTATGTACAGCTCTCAACATGCCCAGACTTGTAGTGATTTTCACCTCTTTTAATACTTTTCGCCTCATTCTGAAAGAAAGAGGTGAAACGTGCCAACGTAACGGCCGTATTTAGGAAAAGGAGCGGAAAGGCCCCTCGAGGTACCCTGGAATAAAGCCCTTTTTCATACATAACTTTCAGTTCCGCTCTCTTTCTAATGTGAAAAACACAACACTTTTGGCCAGTTACAAAGGGCAGAGCGGTGG